AAACTAAAGAAATTATTTGAAATACTATAACCATTTTTTAATACTACATAAAAAACCCCATAATTTCTGAATTTAGAATTTATAGTGTAGAGTTTAATATTTAGGGGATGAAACTAAATTTATAAAATTATATAAAAATTCCAAATGATATATATGATATTAATATCATATACTTTAAATGAAATTAGAAGAATTTCTTAATTACCTCTAAGATCGTCTTCTTCAATCTTATTACAATATATAATAAAATAATTTATTATTTATTTTAAAATTTATCATCACAAATTAAGAAGTGACAATTGTAAGATATTGTCATTGACTTGATTGACTTTATTTAACTTTCAATTTTTTTTTAATTTCACTCTAATTCTTAATTCGAACTTATTTAATTATTCGCCAGAAATAGGACTGGGCAAAAAAACCAAATACGAAAATCCGAACAGAATCCAACCCGATAAAAATGAACCTGAACTGATCTAAATCCGATTTAAGTACTGAGTGGATCTTGTTTTACGATACTTCGGATCATAAGTTTTATCCAAGGGCGAAGCTAGAGAATATATTCAATGGGTGCATTATTGGTAATAAACTTTAAAAATGTATGAAAAAATTGAACTCAAGATCATACGGGTGCATATGCTGTGTTTTACCATCTAATTCACCAAAATTTCAATGTTTTTGTCTTTAAAATTGTGAATATCAATATAATCATGGATGCACTTGCCACCACTCCTCATAAGGTGGTTTCGCCCCTAATTTTACCCGAACCAAACCCAAACTTAAATGGATATCCGAAAGAACCCGAAACTTTAAAATCCCAAAAAAACTTGTATCATACCCATTCTAAATTTCTAATATTTTTTCAAAACACATTAATATATTATTGAGTACCTACAATAATTAATTAGAATATGAATAATTAATTCAAATATTTAGTCTAATATATAGTGTTATTTGGTTAATATTAATGTTTATGATTGACATTATATTTGACGTTAAGTTACGAATAAATTTGTTTTGAAGTTTAAATATTTTTTTTTAAGTTTAAATAATACTTCTTATGTTTATAGAATTGTTATTGGTTAACTTTAACTTTTTATGTTTCATTGTGTACGATTTTCGTTCATACAAGATTTTGTTTATCATTAATCATGATATGTTTAATGTTGTCACATATAGTTCAGTGACAAATCTTATATGGTTGATAGACGAGTTTCACAATATATATTATTTTGAAGGAGAACAATATGGTTTGTAAAAGCTAAATACACAAATTTAATAAAACGATTAAAAATATAGTAAGTTTAATTGAGTATAAATTAGTATTTTTAGGACCGATAACCCGATTAGTATCTGAAACCGAAACTATTTTGGGTTCAACCGGATCTTGGACATGTTATTAAATCCGATCCGAACTAGACTGAAATCGAACCGTGTCTGACCTAAATTTTTATAATATCCGAATAGGGATGGCATTTATGATCCCGAAAACTCAAAACCCAGATGAACCCAAACTGAAACCCCATTGGACAGCCCTAGCCAGAAAACATGCTAAGATTTTCAACAAAGTTTCTATTAACATATGCATATATACACTAAAAGTTAACCATATAACAAATGGGCATTTCCTTTATCTTTTGAAACATAAATGGAAGTTTTTTTTGTTTTGCTTAACATTAAATTAAATGTTTACAACCATGGCTGGACTAATTAACTGTGATCATGTTTACACAACCATATTTATTTTGTATTTTTTCAACTCTAGTTTACTTTCAAGTTTGATCATAGAACAAAGTTTAATTATATATTTTTTTGTCAGCATATATATATATATATATATATATATATATATATATATATATTAAAATTAGATATCGAAAATTAGTAAGAAAATAAATACATGTTGATCTTATTTGCTAAGCAATTTGAATAACTCATATCCACCTAATATGCTGAGGAACGAAACAAATCATGCCCTGACCGGAACATTTTGCTTACACAAATAAAATGTACGTGGATCCCATGCATGTCAGGTTTAGAACAGCTGTCAAATAATATTTTCTATGTCATACCATACATCAAATTTAGTATTTATACGTACATAATAACTAGGTGTTTTGCCCGCACATGCGGGCATAATTTGTGTGCAATTTATTATTAGTCTATATTTTATTTAATTCAAACCAATATAATAAGTTATGATTTATGTTTTAAAATTAACTATAAATGACAACACTTACATAACAAAATATTTTTAAAAATATATTTTTACAAATGTGTTGCTTTAATTTATTTAATTATAATTTTTTCTATCTTAATTTTTTATTTCTATAGTAAAAATATATTTTTAAGATAACAATATAATACATAAGAAGTATCTTATTTTCTCAAAATGTAACTTTTTAATAGAATTTCGTTTTTATTTTATAATAAATTTTATATGTAATTATTAAAAATATATTTTTACAAATGTGTTGCTTTAATTTATTTAATTATAATTTTTTCTATCTTAATTTTTTATTTCTATACTAAAAAATATATTGTTAAGATAACAATATAATACATAAGAAGTATCTTATTTTCTCAAAATATAACTTTTTAATAGAAGTTCGTTTTTATTTTATAATAAATTTTATTTGAAATTATTAAAAATATGACAAATAATCATAAGTATCTAAATCATGGAGAAATTACAAATCAGATAATTCACTTAGATTTTATAATAGAAAATATATATTTAAGATAACAATCTAATACATAAGAATTTTTTTTTAAATCTAGTATTAATAGTATACATTTGTTTTATTATTTGATAAATTATATATGAAATTATTAAAATATGATAAATAAGCAAAGTATAAAACCATGGAGAAGTTGATCAGCATTGCTTTCTTTATATTTAACTATTAATATTTTAACTTAATTTTTAATTTTTATGATAAAAAAATAATATTTTATAGATAATAATATAATAGATAAGAATTATCTTATTTTCTAAAGTATAATATTATTGATAGAAATTCGTTTTTATTAAATAATAAATTGTATATGAAATTATTTTAATAAGGTAAATAAAAAAATTTACCTAAAATCAAGGATAAGTTGACAACTAAGCAAATTTATTTCTCAAATAATAGTATAGATTTTTTTCCAAAAAAAAGGTACATAATAAAATGCTTTTCCATTAAAACACAAAAAGAAAAACCATTTAAATATGGGAACAGTGGAATCCCCACACCACTCCACTCCGAAGAGAGTCTTAATGGGCCAGAGTCACGTGGTTAGCACGCGGATCCAGGCCCACTTATTAACCAATGATCTAATGTTCTTAAACATACTTTGTTTATTCATCGCTCAACTTTTGTTTTCCATTTGTCACGACCACTCGGCACTCCCCAAAACATTTGCAGTCTATCGCCCACATTCATCATTTTAAATTCATCATGATCTCAACGTGATACGTTAACGGTTTTTAATTATGGCATGATACTAAGAAATATAACAATTAGCTTATAATGAACTGAGGCTATATTGATTTATATATAATCATAAACTTTGCATATATATGGCTTATCAAGTTATCATGCTTCGTGAAACATGCCTTTTTAATTTTTATAACTTCAAACTTCCTGATCAACCCCCGACTAATTATGCTTATTGATAAAGACTTTAGCCAGGATATTTCATATTCGATTTGATATGATATATATATATATATATATAAAGATTTAATGTGAATAATGTGAATGTGTATAAATATATATTTCACACGTACGTAATGTGGTTGGTTGAAAAATTGGCTATGAACTCTACACATCAATTTCTCAACTCCAAAGAAGCAATGGACGTTGGGAGAGTAAGTAACGTTGCCAAACTGGACATGCCAAAAACGATTGTGTGTACCTTCGCTCTTTGATTGAGACTTTACTACACCAAACCTTACACACCAAGAGGTGATGGAATCGGTTTTAAAGATTTTATGATATTAAGAAAAAAATATATTAAAAATTCGTTACAGATTGTTTTGGTTTTTATACTTGTTTTCATTACAAACCCACACAATATCAATGCCGTTAAGTGATCAAACAGAAAACTACTCGTTGGTAATAAGATCGTTCTATTACAATTTCTACTGTGGCTATATATGCTTAAAAAGCAAAATAGATTTCTTTTTGTGATTTTTTTTCCGATTAAACAAGTAAGAAAACTGCATTGATAGTAGTAACATTTTTGTTCATACCGGACTCCGTGAAAAGTCAGAAAGCTGATATAACCCCATTTATGGCATTAACTAGTGATAATAATAATATATGACGCATTTATTGTTTTTATATTTCAACCTTATGAAAAATGTAGAATAGGTTAGGACAGAAGGCTGGTCCTGCGGTGGGAAGAATAAATCAAATCCACCAATGGGATTAAAATTTTGCCGTTATCTGGTACGGCCAATAAATACAGTTTTCACTTATTATTTTTTAAAAAGAGTAAATCCCATCAAATGTAATTAAAAAAATTAGAGATAATCAGTGAAACTAAAAGTCAGCAGTGAAGTTAAAAAAAAAAAGTCAGCAGACAAAGCCCAAAAGGCCCAACTAATATTCATTAGAAAAACCGTACCGTACAATAACCGAAATAGGTTTTATCTTCCTCTCTCTATTGTTTATTTAACAGAACAGCTTAACGTTGCTTTCGTCCTACTCAAATTAGCTAATGGAGTAAAAAGCTTTTCTTTCTCTCAGACAAGACAGAGAAAGAAGAGTCTTTCTTATTACAAAACCTCTATACCTTCTTCTGGAAGCTCTGCAAGAAAGAGAGAGAGAGAAATAGCGATTTCAGTTCAGACTCTTTGACCGCTATTGATGCTAATTTCATCTACTCAACTCTCTCTCTCTCTCTCTCTCTCTCTCTCTCTCTCTTCGAGGTTCGTTTGAAAGCTTCTTTCCTGAGATTGTGAGATTCCACGGCGAAAGGAAAGTTTCTGAATTACCACGGTTGTGTTTATGGATCTGACCGGAAGATTCGGAGGTAGATCCGGCGACGGTGTGCCGTTCCGGGAAGCAACAGCTCTCGAATCGCTTCACCTCGACGGCGACGACGAGTTTCGGCAAATGGTACCTCCTGGAAACGGCGGTGGTTTCACGGCGTTGCTTGAGCTTCCGCCTACACAAGCCGTGGAGCTTCTCCATTCCTCTCCATCTTCCTCTCAAGCGACGCATCACTCTCTCGGGACATTAACTACTTTTCCTTCTAACTCAGTCCTCATGGAGCGAGCAGCTCGTTTCTCAGTGATTGCCTCTGAGCAACAGCAGCAAAACGGAAATGTCTCCGGTGAGACCACGACGAGCTCTGTACCTTCTGTTGAACGCATTAAAAACGAGCCTGCTGAGACCGATTCATCTCAGCCGTTGATTTCTGATCAAGCGGTGAGCCCTTGTCCTAGCCAGAACAATCGATGTGGCAAGAGGAAAGATTTCGACAAGAAGGTGAGAAATACACAAAGTTTGGTTTTCTTTCTTTACATTCAGTTCCCGACACTGATTCATGTTCCTTAACATGTCTAGGTGAAAAGCTCGACGAATAAGAAGAACAAAAGCTCTGAAGAGAATGAGAAGTTGCCATATGTTCATGTTAGAGCTCGCCGTGGTCAAGCAACAGATAGCCATAGCTTAGCTGAACGAGTAAAACTTTTGCATCTCTTACATTTTTTCATCTTAATCAGTTTTTATTAATCGCTAATTTCTTTTTGGGGATTATAGGCAAGAAGGGAGAAGATTAATGCAAGAATGAAGCTGCTACAAGAACTGGTCCCAGGCTGTGATAAGGTTTCTCTCTCTCTCTCTCTCTCAGCTCAGATATTGACCTGTTAATAATCAAATACGCTAATTAATCATTACCTCTTCATTAATTTGTTACAATATTTCCTTAATAGATTCACCCTAAAAGTAAGAATATTGTATAGTCTTTTCATAATTTAGTTAAGGGTCTTAATCATTCTTTTTTTTTTTGGTTCTCTCACTAAAAAGTGGATTGCTTAATTGCTTTTTAATGAAGAAAAGTGATTTCTGGTGTGATAAAGTGGCCAGTTAGGTAATTATGTAATGCCTTAAAGATCTTAACTTTATTATATTCTTGTGTGGAAGAGTACACACTTTGCTTTAAGGTTAAAAATAGTCACACGGACGTGAGTGGAGAGATGGGTTTTTTTTTTCCTCTTCTCAAAGTGTAGGTCATTGAGCTTCATGTATTAGAGAATGACCTTAGGAAGTGGGGATGCTAGCTGTAATTTGCCATTAAGGTTTTGGGTTTAGGGGACAGTTTTTGGTGGATCAAAGTGTGTTATGGGGTCTATCTAGTTGCAAGCTTTCTATGGAAGGTGAGGAAGGGGTAGTATCGTCTCTAACACGTTAGGTATCTATCAAGGAAAAGAGGACAATGACTCTTATAGAAGGACGATTAAAGCAAATGATCCTTTAACAAAAGGAAATTGATATTGATTCTGAGTCCCACATACCTAATTAGTTGGAAACATGGATGTGACACTCCCCCCTAGACAACTAATTTAATGAAAATCCATCCCTTATGTTAGAAGTTAGCAGCAATAATTGGTGAGATGAATGGAGATTTTTTGGTTTTTTATTGGTGAGCTGTGTGAGTACTTGATTGATTGTTTCATGAACCACTAGAGTACTAATTACTTTTGAAAGTGATAAAGTTTGATTCAGATTGTGATTTGAGATGCCATTTATGTTTAGCTTTAGATTAAAGAGTCATCTTCTTGATGTTTTTTTCACTGTATATTTTAGAATCTTGACAAAGAAGTAGCTGCTTTGTAAGGAATTTACCTAATATGAATCCTAAGCTCACCAGAAAGTCTTTGACCTGCAGATTCAAGGTACCGCGTTGGTGCTGGATGAAATCATTAACCATGTCCAGTCCTTACAACGTCAAGTGGAGGTGAGAGTTTCCGTGATCCAGTTTTGTTTTTTATACCTATATATATTGTACAATAGCCTTAAAAGACATAACCAAAAGGTCAACTCAAAGCAGTTTTGGAAATGAATAAATCGTGTGTTACAGTCTTATCAAAGTTGAACTTGTTTTTCCACAGATGCTATCAATGAGACTTGCTTCCGTAAACCCCAGAGTCGACTTCAATCTCGACACCATATTGGCTTCAGAAGTAAGTGTCTTCTAATCTCAAACCATACTTATAATAAACCTTTCTCATTTAAGTAAATTATATTTCTTTGAGTAGCTTCTAGTTTATATCACAAAAGGAGAAAACATTTGGGGGTATTTATTGACACAAACATTAATTTAGACCATTTTAGAGCAAGGCGTAGGAAGATCAACGTTTAGTCTTATCAAGGGAACTCAGGGAAAGTAATTACACAACACACACCGTGCAAATTTACAGTACACGCAAACTGCTTAGTGTGTCAAAACTCGGGCCACCTCTGTTCTGTAAACCTTTATGTGTCTTCTGTGACTTATGTCAGATGTGTATATTGCTGAGCTTTGATGATTTTAAATTTTATTTTATCCCTCATTAATGTTTGTGGGTCTCTTCCAAAGATCTTGTTGTTTCAAAGTTCATAAATGCTACCTCTTTCTTATTACAGCTTGTACATACCAATAAATAGCCAGGGGTCCCTCCCATTAAGCCTTGTTCTTGTAGGATAGTAATAACACAGCAGCAATAGTTGACTTCTTTTGACTAGATCAAGATCTCTATGAATGAATGAATGAATGATCCCAGAACTGATATCTTTTTCGGGTTTGGTTTCTTTTTCGCAGAACGCTTCTTTAATGGATGGGAGCTTCAACGGTACAGCAATGCAGCTAGCTTGGCCTCATCAAGTGATGGAGACAGAACAGTCCTATCATCACAGGCAACTGCAACAACCACCACCACAACAGTGGTCTTTGGATGGCTTGAACCAGACGGTTTGGGGAAGAGAGGAGGATCAAGATCATGGCAATGACCACAACAGTTTGATGATTGGTTCTGCTAATTTGCACCCAAACCAGGTCAAAATGGAGTTGTAAGTTTGGGGGAAAACATTAGACCATGTATGTGTAAATATATTTGTATAAGCTTTTCGTCATGCGCAGAATAATAATTTTAAATATAGTATTTTTTTTTTTAAAATTGGTTTACACTAATATAGTATTATTTTTCTATTAGTTTTATCGGTTTTGAATAAATAAAATCATCAATGTATTCTTTTTTACTTTTATTCCTTTTGATTGGGGTTAACAGTTTCACTTTGATTCTAAATTTCAATAGAGTTATATATTACATTTAAGAAAAATAACTTTTTAATTTATATTATATTTATTTATTGATTCGTTTTAAATATAGTTTTAAATGTGATATATGCATTACTTTAATGGGGATATATTCGTAATTAATTATTACTATATTTAAATAGTTTTGTCAAAATAGGTACTTATAAAAAAAACTTATTCTTGGGTTCACCTTTAGGTTCACCATCCAATATGATTACATTATTTCATATTTGATATCTTTTTAAAAAGGAAACAAAATCTTATTAATTTATATTATGTTTTTAAAAAAATAATTAATAAAAACAAAATATTTTTTTTTTTAAAGAAAATATTTTAACATTAAACTCTAAACTCTAGTCCTAAATCCTAAACCTCTAGGTAAATCATAAACCTTTGAATAAATCTATAAGAAATTAGTGTTTATGATTTACCCAAGGGTTTAGGGTTTAGGATTAGAGTTTAGGGTTTAGTGTTTATGATTTACCCAAGGGTTTAGGGTTTAGGATTAGAATTTAGGGTTTAGTGTTTATGATTTACCCAAGGGTTTAGGATTAGAGTTTAGGGTTTAGTGTTTATGATTTACCTAAGGGTTTAGGGTTTAGGATTAAAGTTTAGGGTTTAGTGTTTATGATTTATCCAAGGGTTTAGGGTTTAGGATTAGAGTTTAGGGTTTAGTATTTTAGTGAAAAGAATATATTTTGAAGATTTTTTCTTATAAAATTTATCCAAAGGTTTATGATTTACCTAGGGGTTGAGGGTTTAGGATTAGAGTTTAGGGTTTAGTGTTAAAATGTTTTTTTTAAAGAACTATTTTTCGTTTTTATTAGTTATTATTATTATTTTTATTTATTTTTGTATTTTTATTCTTAAAAACATAATATAACTTAAACAAGATTTTGTTTACTTTTTTAAAAGATATCAGATATGAAATGATGCAATCTTATTGTATGTATGGTGGTAAAATAATTATATTTAAAATATATAAAGTTTCAAAACTAATTTAATATAATTTATTTATTTGCATAATAATATTAGAAAACTATATTTTTTACAAATTGTTATTTTTAAATAATTTTATAAAAAATTAAGTTAAATTTTAAATTATTTTTAAAAGTAATATTTTAAGTTTGTCAAATAAAAATAAAAATTTAAAATTAAGTATGGTCATGATTTAACATAACCATAATGATTTAAAAAATTAACAAAATAAAAGTTAACAAATTAAAAATTAACTCAGTTTTATATCATGATTTAACAATTTAAAAATTAATCATGGTTATGAGAAGTTTAGGTTCACGTGCTAATCCTATTTATCTTCAATTTTTTTTTTGTGTTTTTTATATTTTGGTTATTACTCGATATAAATATTGATTTTGAAGTTTATTCTCATTTCGTTTATTTTGTTTGGCCTGGGATTTAGAAAATACTTAAGATTTAAAATAATTAAAAAGATACATACTTAGGTTAAGATCTGCACTTTATGCACAATAAGTATTTTATATTTATAATTTATTTTATAATTTTCTGCATATCATAAAATAATAAAATAATAAATATATATTACATAACTAAGAAATTAGTCACTATTATGTAATAAATTGACGTATGCATATAAATTTAACTATCACTCTTTTTTATTCGCAACTAGCGTAAATAAATCAAAATAATCAATTTTATATATTGTATATGATATATAATTAAATTTAAATGATATAAACATAGTAATATGGCACACTTTTAATATTGATATTTATTAAATGAGGTTTCTACTCATATGATTTTATGATTATTTGCATATTTGTGTAACAAAACTTTACACCAATGATTTTTTTAATGTGAGATGTTTAGTAGTTTCAATAATTTATAATCATTTTTTTTTAAAATGACATATTTCAAAATTAAAATATTAACTTTTCAATATATGTTGACGACAATCAAAATATAAGTATGTATTTGCATACGATTTATAGTTTAATTAAAACGATATGAAATATATATATAAACTAAAATTATTTCTTCATATGGTCTTATAATAATTATATTTTAATATAGAAAACAAATTAAAACCTTGATCCTAAAAGTTTATGTGAGACTTTTAACAATTTTAGTAATTTATACTCATTTTGAAAAATTCGAAATACAACATACACAAAAAAAATCTAGATTTTTATTATATGATTAATGTAATTGTGTAATTTATTTTAATAATAAATAAATAAACTAAATGAGAAAAAAGTATACAGATTGTTATCAAATCTTTATTGTTTAAAATCATTAATTGTCATATATATTTTAATTACATTAGGTAATTCCATATGTTTTATTTAAAGAAAGCATGCTAAACAATAAATATTTGATATATGCGACCAACTATAGTCTACGAAATATTATATTGCTAGAGAATATAATTTTTAGACTATACATTATATCACATGCTCTAGAATCCTTGGGATTTGAAATAGAAGCCAAATAGCTATGCCACATAGGATTGTGGTTATTTTTAATTCTTACAAACTTAAGGTTACAATTTTTTAAATGATTTTCAAATAATATGTAGGGGATATTCTCGTTTTAATTTGGTGAAAATGTTCAAGTTCATGATAAACATCGAAAAATGAAACTAAAAACAAGCCGTTTTAAAAAATGGAAAATCATTAAATTCTTAATGGCTAATTTCACACTTAGCAATAAAATGGGGTAAAAAGTGGCGTAAAAAGTTAATTTTTCCCTTTATGAACACGTAATTTTAATCTGAGACCCAAAATAAATATGTAAAATTGGGAATTTGAGAATGAAAAATAGATTAAAAATATTAATTATTATTGTGTGTTTAAGGACCAAAGTCGATATGGTTTAGGTAGGATTGTCAAACAGGCCGTCCCGTCCCGTCCCGTACCGCGGTGGGCTTGACTTCTCGCGGGTCTTTGCGGTCCTGTCCCGCGCAGGCTGCGGTCTGCAGAAGGTCGGCCCAATCCCGTCCCGCAGCATTGTACAGGCTTCTACGGGCCGTCCCGCGGGCCAAACGTCAAAGTTGCTACAGACTGCTCCAAGTTGTTCCACGGCGCTTCAGGAAGGTGTAAGAGCTTCAGGCTGCTCCACAACATACATGCAAGCACATTATACATTCAATTTGCTATTCATTCTCACAAAATTTTCTATAAAAATACATTTGCATTCTTTATAAAATTACATTAACATTCACTTCAAGTCCTTTTTTCTCCATTGATAAAGTTAGGATTACTAAATGAGGATAAAATGCATGTAGAATATAAAATGTAAAGTCTGAACCAAATTTAAAATTAGAAAAACACCAAATCATTGTACTCAAAACAAAAACAAAAACAACTTAAAAATCAAATTTCAAATTGTAATAAAGGAAAACACCAAATCAAAATGACATTTCAAACATGCTCCTCTTCATCTTTAATCCTCATCTCCTCCATCGATAATAGATTGAAATGAAGGCAATTTCTCTTCCTCACCATCACCAGCAATTTCTTCATCTGATAATATAAAACATATTTACTTTGAATTAAGTATAATTACTGTACAATCAATTAAATTGCTTATTCTTTACCATGTGCATAAGATTCATATCCCTTGATCCAGTTTCTAGTGCATATCAGAGCTTGCACATTTTCTGGAAGTAGACGGCTTCTATATTTGTTTAGCACTCGCGATCCAATACTAAAGGAGGACTCTGAAGCCACTGTTGTGATTGGAATACTTAGCAGATCACATGCCATTGCAGCCAAATCACCATACCGATGTGCATTATCCTTCCACCAATTGAGGATGTCCAAGCTCTCAAAATTAGTGATGTCCATAGGAGGTTCATCAAGATAAGCTTCTAGAGGTGTCTTGCCACTAACAACACCACGGACTTTGCGAAATGCAAAAAAATCCTAAGAAGATTTAAACAAATATTAAAAGGGGGAAAAAATAAACAGAAGGGAAAAATTTGATATTGCACTCACATCGTAGTTCTGAAACAGTCCCGTTGACCCTGGCGGAGAGGGTTTTTGTGAAACAGTCTCACGTGGCTCTGTAGAAGGTGAGTTATTCTTGGAGTTTCATAAGACTCGAACAAAGTAGTCAGCTTCTCCCGCAAGTTCTTCAACTTTGCATCACGTGTGGTCATATCAAGCTTCCCTAAACAGCATTCGACAATTGAAAGCTTAAACCGTGGGTCAAAGACTGCAGCCATTGCAAAAGCATCACTGACTTCCCCCCAATATTTTTTGAACTTCTCTTTCATCGGTGGCACCATGTCTCTGATAATCTCATCTTCGCTGTACTCATTCTGTTGAAGCAAACTATGGATCTTCCAAACCTGATAGAAATACAAGTTCGCGGTAGGGTAATTTGAACCAGACATCAGGCTTGTAATCACCGCAAAAGGACCCAGAAAACAGCATATATTGTCAGCTCTATTCCATTCTTCATGTGTGGGCGCCATCTTATACCCCTTCTTATCAAATGTCTCCAACTGTACAAATGCTTTACGGTACTTTAAGGCCCTTTCAAGCATGTAGTAAGTCGAGTTCCATCTCGTCGACACATCCAGTATTAGCCCCCCATTTTCATCTAAACCCGCAGCATCCACACATTTTTCAAATAAATTTTCACGCGTTTGCGATCCTAACACATACTTAACACTCTCTCTTACTTTGTGCAGAGAGTCTCCAATAACCTTCAACCCATCTTTTACTATAAGGTTCAGTATGTGAGCTGCACATCTAACATGGAATAACTCTCCGGCGCACAGCAAATCATCTCTCAAATTTAGCTGGGATTTGACAATATCTTGCATTGAGTCATTACTCGTAGCATTGTCTACAGTGAGAGAAAATACCTTCTTATCAACTCCCCACTCTTTCAGTGTATCAAGGAAGCGGACCGCAATTTTCATACCATCATGTGGTGGAGGTAGAGCACAAAAAACCAGGATCTTGCTGTTCAACTTCCAATTCCGATCTATATAATGTGCTGTCACACACATGTATCCTTCCCGTTTCACTGATGTCCATAAGTCAGTTGTGAAAGACACTCGTCCATGAAGACTCCCTAATTCCCTCTTCAGTGTGTCTCTCTCACTTTCATATAATCGATACACATCAGCTCTTGCTGTGTTTCGACAAATGGTCTTGACATCAGCATTCAAATACTTCCATGTGTCTCTCACTTTTTCATACTCCATGTACGAGTAGGGTAGATCATGTTGTACTATTGTCTTTGCTACCATCTGCCTAACACAGCATGATCATACTTGCGAGGAACAACTTTGCCCTCGGGGTTGAGTTGTTGTTGACCATCTCGGTTCCTTGGATACATTTTACATCTAGTACGATGCCTTCTCAACCCACTGGTTCCATGGGAATGGGAATGCCATGCATACTCATTCCTGCAATGATTGCATGCAGCTTTCAACTTCCCACTGGCTTTATGTACCACCTTAAAATCGGTCCACACATCTGATCTTTGCCTCTCTTCCCTTTCCTCGTCATCGAGTTCATCATCATCATCCTCTTCTTCATCGCCAACTTCATCGTCAAAGTCAGGTATGTCCTCTACGACCTTCTCCTTCTTCTTTTGCGACTTAGTAAGCATGACCTTCTTCTTCGGTGATTGAGTAGGCACTGCCTTTCTTCTCCCTCCACGAATCACAGACTTCATAGGAACAGTCTTCCTACACGCATGTGAGGATGAGCCAATGCCACATCTATAGTGGATTGTAACATCGGTTTCCTCGAGGCAGTTCCAAAAGAAGTCTTTCTGCGAGGCTTGGTTTTTTGAGATGATGGAGTGATCTCAACATCAGAATAATCAGTTTCATCTACAAGACTGATAAGCTTTCTTTTGCTTCCTTTGTTTCCTGGAACGCAACCTACATCGCCTTCAGGGAAACGATCAGCATTTGTTTCTTCAGCAACAAGCTTAGCTATGAGATTTTGAGTTTCCAAATCAACTGTATCTGGTGGGACGTAGTTCGGATCAAACGTGTGATCTTCTGAGTCGCCTCTCGATCCCATGCTCTCTCTCTTAGGTTTTGCGGTTCTGGTGTTTTTTTTTGGTCTCGTCTAGCGGTTTCTCTAAAACTGTTTTAGTTATTACTTGAGTCCTTAGGATGATTTTTCAAAAGCTTGGAGGGCTAAATTCCGTGACCAAGTAAAGACAAGTAATGCAACACTAAATTCAAGCAAATGAACAATCATATGAGCTGAGTCTTGTCTTAACTTCGCACGGAGTTTACCCGCCAAGCCTCTGATCAATCATCCTTGAGTCCTTAGGATGATTTTTCAAAAGCTTGGAGGGCTAAACTCCGTGACCTAGTAAAGACAAGTAATGCAACACTCAATTCAAGCAAATGAACAATCATATGAGCTGAGTCTTGTCTTAACTTCGCACGGAGTTTACCCGCCAAGCCTCTGATCAATCATCCTTGAGTCCTTAGGATGATTTTTCAAAAGCTTGGAGGGTTAAACTCCGTGACCTAGTAAAGACAAGTAATGCAACACTCAATCAAATTGAAATAATTTAACAAATTTAGGTCAGACATATTAATTCAAACAAATCAATTTTAACCTAGTTCAATCTTGTCTTAAGTTCGCACCGAGTTCAACCGCCCAGCCTATGAACAATCACCCTTGAGTCCTTAGGATGATTTTTCACAAGCTGGATGGTTTGAACTCGGTGACCTACTGAAGACAAGCAAGTATGATCAAACATATTATAAAAATGATTTAATCTATAATATTACTTAATTATATTAAATTATTAAACCTTTATAAATTAAATTATAATATTGAATTTTCTCAAAGTCAAACAATTTAAAATATTACCTTTGTAAATTATATTATAATATTTATTTTTTTTAATATTGAAAACCTTTATAAATTAAAAAAAAATTATTTTTGATAAAAAATAATTAACAAATTTTTGAAGAACATGCATGGACTCCTCGCCGGCAAAGAAGACAAACGAAGCACAACAACTCCTCTTCAATGTAACTTGAATGGAAGCTCCGATTGAAGTACATGCAGGGACAAAATTAAAATTAGACATCATATAAATCAAAGAACATGCAGAAAAATACAGAGAGAAAATTACCTTCAGAGGAGATTGCATGTCGAACTACTCTTGCATGTACCTGAAATGTGGAGAACAAAGTTAGAGAATATTCATACAACTATAAAGATTAAACACAGAGACATCAAACAAAAAATTAGTAATAATCAACCGAAAAATAGTAATAATCCACATCTAAAATACCTTCAGAGGAGGTCGGATGTCGAACTACTCTTCAACTACTCTTGCATGTACCTGAAATTTGGAGAACAAAGTTAGAGAATATTCAAAAAACTATAAAGATTAAACACAGAGACATCAAACAATACCAGATCCGTCGCATGCATGGAGAGAGAACTCAAAACCCGTCAAGATCGATCAAGATGCGTGGAGAGAAGTCAAGATCCGTCAAGATCCGTCGCTCAAGAATCCACCGGACGATGGAGGGTCCTCTTCTCCGGTGGTAAGAGTTTCAAGAATCAAGAACAACAAGATTCTTGTCACAGCTTTCGGGAGAAGAAGAAGACCCACCACCGTCCGGCGGAGTCTTTGCGAGTCTCACCGATCTCGTCTCTTTCTCTCACTGTCACTCTCACTCTCTCTCTCTCTCTCTCTCTCTCTCTCTCTCTCTCTCTCTCTCTCTCTCGCTCTCTCTCTCTCTTTTTGTTTTTTCAGGTCGGCTGAAATGGAATGGAGTCAAGGAAGCGGTACTTAGGGCGAACCGCGGTCTTCTTTGGGCCGTCCCGCATAAAGCCCATCCCGCGAATGACCCATCCCGCTAGGCCCGCAATTCTGTGGGATACCAATTCCTAGGCCCAAACCCGCCCTGCCACAGGTTTTAACGGGCCTGTCCCGCGGCCCAAGCCCTACTTTGACATCCCTAGGTTTAGGAAACAATAACACCTAAACGGACCTACTAGATAAGAAGAGATTCAATTATAAATACATACCGAAAGTGTGTTATCACGGGAAGAGGAAGACAAACCCTAAATCTAATAAATGAAAGAAAAGAGAAAGAGAGACGCAATCAAGGTGGAAGGATTGCCACGTGATCTTGTAGAAGAGATCTTACAAAGACTTGAAATAAAATCGCTTGTAAGATTCACATCTGTTTCTAAGCAATGGAACGCGATGATCAAATCAAGATCCTTTGCATCAAGACATCTAGTCAGAACGCAGTCACGTGATCCAGATATCCTTCTAGGCGGTGCTCTTCACCATGAATCAAATCCTTATCCTTGTCTAAGGATTTTGGAATCACATTTTTCATTCACAAAGGTCAACTATGTACGAAAACCCAGTCGAAGAAGTCATGCAGTTACCGGAAGCTGTGATGGTCTTGTTTGCATCTATGACTTTAGTAAAGTGATCTATGTCTTCAATCCAGCGACTAGATGGTGTCGATTTCTTCCTCGAGCTAAGATTCAACAAATCAACCGCATTAGAGAAAGTCAAAACAGTAAAGTCTAACTTTATATACTTTTTACTTAATTTTCTTTTGTTTTGTCTTACTTTTACTGTTAATTAATGCTTTGATTATTTGTCTTTTTGTTTTTGGCTCCTTTCCTTGGGAAGGTCAGACGATCCTATCTAGGGTTTGGTAAAGACATTGTGACAAGCAAGTACAAGATGGTATGGTTATATAACTCAAAAGGATTAGACCTAGATGGTGAAACTACATGTGAGGTTTTTGATTTTACCACTAATACTTGGAGACATGTGAATGGTTCTTCATACCAGATCTATGAACAACTCAAATCTCAACCGTTATATTTAAATGGATCACTTCACTGGTTTACTGTCGTCGAGAGTCATGGAAAAATAAAGATGATATGTTTTGATCTTCACACAGAGGTTTTTCAACTAATGTCGGAGATTCCTATTGCCACTACATGGGCTCATCGCATTATCTTGTGGAGTCTGAATAATGGTCTTTGCGTGTCAGAGATGAAAAACGACGGCATTCAGGATATATGGTCATTGAATTCACATAAGGTATGGTAGAAGATTTTTAGTTTAAATCTAAATCTAGGCTATACTAATAGTCATACTGGCGGCGCCCGTTTTCCAATATTACCGGTCACAATTTTCAACAAAACACGGTTACTATTTCTTTACCCGACTAACAAAAACCCTTCGTTATTTGTACACGATACTGCTGAAATAGATTCACATCTTCCTATGGTTATTTTACCTAGTTATTTGGATCAAGCTGTTGCTTTTGTTCCAAGCTTGATCACTATTTAGTTGAAGATTGTTGTAACGTTGCTTTTCATTTTTCTTTTTGTTTCCAACGAATTCAACATCATATTCTAATTTAATACATATTGTGTGTGTTTTTTTAATAATATTTTGTAATTATCTTAGGCCTTCACATGTCTATCGACATCACTAGTAATGATATTCATTATCTTGCCATAGACCAATTTCCAATTTGTTCTGCTATTTTCTTGCAGTATTTTAACATCGGTGTTCATTCTCTTGTTGATCAATCTACTCTATAAACTTCTACACAAATAATAAGTTCTTATAAAACCCCTTAAATAGACATTCATCTCAACTCCTCCGTCTACCTTTTTTTATCTTGAAACAAAAGAAAATTATTTACATTTTATTTGTGTGAACCTAATTAAAACATAAAAACACAATCACCGAATCACCGTTTAGAAGTAAGTGGAAGGCAAATAAGAGCATGTTCAATGCAAGCGCTTACTCAAGTGCTTAGCATTTTCGGGAATTAAAAAAAAAGAAAAATTATGTAATTACTGAAGCTTCGACGCTTCATCAAGCATCAGAAGCAGCGACGCTTGTGACACGTGTTGGACTGTGATGAAGCGGTCCTCGTGTTTCTCTCTCTCACAAAACACAAACTCATTTGTGTTTCTCTCGTTTCCTCCGTCAATCTCTCTCTCTCCCAAGGCGACGACGATATCTCTGGACTCTCGATCTCCTCTCCGACTCTCCTCGACGAGATCAACGCAGATCTCCTTCTGTCTCTCTCTCTGTCTCACTCTACGGCTCTCCTCTATCTCTCCTCGGCGAGATCGAAGTCGATATCTCTTCCTCTCTCTCCTCGACCATGAAAACGTCGCCGACTCTCTGCCTCCCCTCGATGCCTCCTCGACGAGATCGAGGAAGATCTCTGTTCGTCTCTCTCTCTCTCTCTCTCTCTCTCTCTCTCTCTCCTCGACGATGAAGGACGAAGACTCTCTCGCTCTCCTCTACGGCTCCTCGACGAGATCGAAGATGATTTGTCCTCGTCTCTCTCTCTCCTTGCCGATGAAAGACATGCATATGTCGGCGTCTCGCGTTCCCGATGTCCTCTCCTCTACGAAATGAAACAGAAGGTAAACATATGTATTTTGTCGATTAGTTTGTTGTGTTCGAAGCCAGGCTCATGTTTGTCTCTGTCTTTGTTTTTCAGATGGACGGAGCAAGAGGAGAAGGTTCCTGAAGCAAGATGACTCTGATTGTCTTCTACAACAGAGGTAAACTTCTAGACGATTTCTTTCAGATTTTTATTATATGTTAGAATCTAATCTCAGAGTTTGTTCTGAATATAATTGAGTCTGTTGATTAGAATGAAACATAATCGTGTTTGTTACTTAGGTGTCTGAATATAATTGAGTTGTCTTACTAGAGTTAGGATTATCCCTCATGAGTTGAGATAGTATGATTTTAATTGAGTTGTCTTAGTTGAGATACTATGAAATTGAAATTGGATTGAGATACTATAATTGAGTTGTCTTAGTTTGTTTGCGTCCTCAGCTCTGTAATGTACATTTTGTACATGTGAGTGTGAATATGAAATCACATGCATGTGCTATGCATTTTCTTGCCAAAAATAACATCACTTGTCTGTTTAAATCATGTCGTAAAATGATTTGGTCGCACTAAGAAATAATCAAACAAAAGATTTCTTTTAGTATGTCATTGTTGTTTGAAGCTTATGTTTTTGAAAATGTTTTCTTCTCCTTCCTGTCTTCTCCATTTAATCTCATTGAATGGTTTATTCTCGAGTTAGGTAGTCGATGTTGATAATAAATACAAGTGCTCGTGTTAGTTGTAATGAATAAAGGACAGCCTGTGGTTAAATGCTTTAGTTAGTTGTGTTTGCTTAAATATCTTGGTGAAGTTAATAAATGATTTGCTTTAGGTGAATTGTGTTAATTGTTGTTAAATATGGTTGTGAAACCGTAATAAACCGTAAATAGAGTTAGATACATGTCAACTCGAAAACTCTTTTAAAACTCCTTCACTCTCTCCCATCTCAAACAGATTCCTATATGTTTTTCTCAAATCTCTTAACCCAAAAATGGAATTTAACCCTTTTACTCAGCCTTCAACCTTTGTTGAACTGCTTAGCAGTCAACGAAATGTTGTTTTCAATGAACAGATTCAAGGCTCACACGATTCGAACTTTGGTGAAGATACTCAACGTAAAGAGAGGAGGACGTGGTCGCAGTCTGACGATATTGTGCTCATCAGCTCGTGGTTAAACACGAGCAAAGATGCAGTAGTAGGGAATGAACAGAAGTCTGTTGCATTCTGGCAGAGAATTGCTGCGTACTACAACGCGAGTCCTAAAGTTGCTGGGTGTGAAAAGCGCGAGGCAGCTCACTGTAAGAATAGATGGCAGAAGATCAATGACGTGGTTGGCAAGTTCTGTGGAGCTTATGCTGCTGCGAGCAAAGATAGAAAGAGTGGGCAAAGTGACAAAGATGTTCTCGAGGAGGCCCACAATATCTACAACAACAATCATAAAAAAGATTTCTTGCTTTAGTATGCTTGGAGAGAGCTGCGAAATGACCAGAAGTGGTGTGACATGACCACGTCTAAAGGTGGAGGAAGCTCAAAAAAGAGGAAGAGTGTGGACGCTTCTCAGTTTGGAAGTTCCAGAGCAATAGACGTAGACTCTGGTGATGAAGCAACCACTCGTCCCCCTGGAGTTAAGGCTTCAAAAAATCGTGGAAAGAAGCCAGCTGCTGATAGTCAGGACATGGAAGAGTTCTAGACAATGTGGACCCTGAAAAGGGAGGATTTGTCGATGAAGAAGGAGCTGTGTAAGATCAAGCTCTTGGAGAGTCTCGTTGGAAAACAAGGGCCACTTGCTGATTATGAAGAAACTTTGAAGAAGAAACTCATTACTGAATTAGGGTATAATTAAAATAAATCTGCTTCTGTTGCTTGTGTTTCTTTCTTGTCGTGTTTATGTATGTTTGTCCTAAGCTTGTGTTTTATTTAATTGCTTGTCGTCTTTTTGTATTATCTTAAGTGATCATGTATGCCACTGTTTTATTAAATGAAATATGTTCTTAAGCTTGTGTTTTATTTAATTGCTTGTCTCATGTTTATGTTCTTTGACTGATCATGTATGTTTTTCACGTTTCAGGTCACTGGCTAAGAAGATTGAATGGGGTAGTTGGTAAACTTATTACCATCAGAGCCACGTACCGTGTATTGTTTGCAACGATCACAAAACGTGGCACTGATAGTAATTAGTGTTCCCACTTCCTTGTTATGTTTACTTGTTTCTTTTGATGAGAGAGTGAGAATGAGTTTGGTTTGTTGAGTTCCAGCTTCGTCTACTTGTTTCTTTTGATGAGAGAGTGGTAGTTTCTTTTGATAATTATGTGTTTGTTTCTTTTGATAATTATGTGTTTGTTTCTTTTGATGAGTGCTTGTGTCTTTATGCAGTGAGTGAAGACTGTGAGATCACGGAGGGAGTGAGGACTGTGTGATCACTGTACTTGTGAGAAGACCAAAAGCTTGTTTCTTTATGTATCACTTGTGTCTTTATGTATCACGGGTCGTCTAGTTTGTGTCTTTATGAAGACCAAAACCTGTTGTATGTGTCTTGTATGAGTCTGTACTTGTGTCTTTATGTATCACGGGTCCTGTACTTGTGTCATTGGATTATTTCACTCATTCTCTACATTGTGTCTTGTATAGATATTCTCTCTTCTCAAACGATTTAACAAACCTCATTCTCACTTCTCAAACCAACCTCATTCTCTCCTATACCATCGTGAACAAACCAAACTCATACCATCTCATTCATAATCTATCACACTTCTCAAAATTATTATAACCAACCTCATTCTCACTTCTCAAACCAACCTCATTCTCTCCTATACCATCTCAACAAACCAAACTCATTCTCATTTCTTAAAATCTCAACAAACCTAACTCATTCTCACTTCTCAAAATCTCAACAAACCAAACTCATTCTCACTTCTCAAAATCTCAACAAACCAAACTCATTTTATGGCTGGTTCTTCTTCTCAAGATGGCTTAGATGAAGCATTTGATGAGAGATTTGATGAAATCTTTGATAACCGTTTTGAACAAGCTTTCGAGAAATTTACCGTTAATCAAGAACGAAGGAAGAAAAAGAATAAAAGAGCTTATATCGACAGGCATCGTGAAGAAGGCAATGTACGTTTATGGAATGATTATTTTAGTGAAACTCCAACGTATCCCCACAATTTTTTCCGGCGACGGTTTCGAATGAACAAGACGTTGTTCTTGCACATTGTGGATCGACTATCCAACGAAGTTGATTTCTTTCGCCAAAAGACTGATGCTCTTGGAAGACAGGGACTCTCACCACTACAAAAGTGTACAGCCGCCATTCGTATATTGGCATATGGTAGTACAGCTGATACGGTGGACGAATACCTCCAGCTCGCTGGAATGACAGCTGGGTCATGTTTGGAGCATTTCGTGGAGGGAATAATTAATTTTTTCGGGGATGAGTACCTTAGAAGACCAACACCGGCTGATCTTCAACGTCTACTTGATGTTGGAGAGTATCGTGGATTTACCGGGATGATAGGAATCATCGATTGTATGCAATAGGAATGGAAGAATTGTCCCACCGCTTGGAAAGGGCAATATATGTGGGAGTCGATTTCACCCTACTGTCAAATAAATCGTAAAAAAGGAAACTTCGGGAAAACCCTAAGTTTCCAGTGGAACCGGCTATCTGCGAGAACCGCACAACGAAAATAAGATGACGAAAATACTGTGGGAGTCGATTTCACCCTACTGTCAAATAAATCGTAAAAAAGGAAACTTCGGGAAAACCCTAAGTTTCCAG